TGCTATGACGGGGAAGCAGAGCCCTGGCCTCCCACCCAGATGCCCCCCGCACAGCCGCCCCCAGCCCTGGGCCAGGCGTGCGAGGGGCATTTGGGGCCCTCTGTGCCCTCCCTGCCCCAGCTCGCAGTGCTCTGGCAGTGGGCTTTGGTCCTTCCACCCCAGCCAAGTTTTCATGGCTACGCTTCAATCTAAACCAGCACTTTGATCTGAGAGCATAACAGAGGCTGCCTGGGGAGATGGGAGATAAGAAATAAAGTATGAACTGGTAACGAGACAGGACTGTCCATGGAAACACTCCACTTGCACTGATGCCGTGCACTCGAACATCGAGGGCTGACAGGTACAACTGTTTAAAGGAGAGAATGAGAGCTGCCTTACCCCCAAAACCCTTTAATTTAATAAAAGAAGACAGTGGGTTATTTGTAAACACCTTTTCCCAGAAAACCATTCGTTTGTCAGCCTTCTATTTCCTTACGGATTATGTATCTCTTCACACATGTTAAATTTTAATAGTTGCTGTTTGTTCTCCTCCTGGCTTAGCGATGAGATAGAATTATTCGATGTTATAAACCAATATTCTATCTCCTTCTACATTAAAACTTAAAATATTTTTTGGGAATATGTTTTCAAAGAGATATTGGCAATTCTGTGCTTGTGTGGAGGAGCAAAAAAGCACTGGTGAGACTGATGGAAAAAACCTAAACAATTGCACAAGAGACTGTTTGGCTAAGGAGGGAGTAAACACAATAAACAATCCCCAGACAAAGGGACAATGCCTCGAGTGGATTAAACACAAAACTGGAAAGCTTTGGCCAGGTTTCAGCTCTCCTTGTAATGCAACGTGACCTTGAGCACATTACGGAGCTCTCCTGTTTGTTAATAATCAAAAGGACTTAACAAAACACAAACGAGCAGGAGGCACTAAACGGCCGCCTCAAGGGCTCGTTCAGCCAGCACCACTTTGCAAACTGCTGCCCCTGCACTGAAAGCCTGGCTAGAAGGTGGCCCAGGGATGCAAACTCCAATTGCTCAAACAGATCATTTTGTGTTCTAAATACTTCTTTTCAGTTCACAGCATTTGAGAGGACGAGGCAAACTTGCCCACAGGAGAGCAGAAGGCAACGGGCAGCGGTTCCAGCGCCAGGTAACGGAAACCTGGTAGAGGAAACATTAGCAGAGAGTGACTTCAAGGCAAAGCATGGTTTTACAGGTGCCTGCTCCGATCTGTGTTTACGCTGTGGTGCTCACCCCACCCCGGGCTGGTGGAATTATATCTGTAAGCCATTTGTCTCACGCTGTTTTGTAAAATGCAGCTTTGTGCCACTGTGCAGGAGCCCTCGGTGCCCAGCGGATGTATTTCACGGCACCTTTGAGGTGAGGGAGCAGCAGAGAGCAATCTCACCGAGAGAAGCCCGCTGTCAACTGAATTCACCAGAATGGCAATCAGCCTGCGGAGCTGGCGTGAGGTCTGCTAGCAATGATTTTTCAGGCCCACATCCTTTGCTGGGCCTCAAGACAGCCCATAAATTCTCTCATATTTTTCATTACATCAGAAATGTTCACTATACTTTACTACCTCAGCCTGGCCAGGAAGAAAATTGTAGTCCTTTTTTATTTTTCGTAGGGTTATTGAAAGAATAATTCAAGGCAAACCTTTATAATGGTTAAAAAAAAATATATCTTGGAGAGAACCGGTTGGAAAAATGTGATGGACACGTGGAAATGATTCCAAAGCACATCTGAGTAAGCTTTCCCATCACCTCTGCAAAACGAGTGACATGACGCTGCAATCTCCTTCGGGTGCTTAGGGCTGCCAAACGCAATGGTGTCCTGACCTCGGGGCCAACGAAAGAAAAAGATAATAAAGATAAGTGTCTCCACATGCCCCTCTGCACCTGAAGGAGAATCAGAATTATTTTCCCTCCGGAGCCCGAGGCACCGCCGAGCAGTTCTGAGCTCCCACAGCAGATGGTAGTGCTGCACCGCTCATCCTCTGTCTGCTTCGCAGATATTTAGAAAGTAATTTCCAGGCCCAGACGTTCAATTCTCAGCTCATGAAACATATTTAAAGGCTTCAACTTCTGCTCTAACGCACACCCAGGGAATTCCTTGGTAGGATGCTCTCATCTCACATTATTGGCACTAGTTTTCGGCCGTGCAGAAGCCGGATAAATGGCCTCAATGGCAGATTTACTTGCCAACAGAGAAGAGGTGAAAATATTTATTTTCTTTCTCTGTGGTAAATCTCTGTATCCTGAATGAATGATGGTATCAGTTTGGGTTTAAAAAAGAAATCACGCAGCAAAGTGTCAAAAGTTTAAGAAAATAGAAATGATGGCAGAAAAGAGATCATGTTTTCAATGGCATTTACAGTTCCTCACCCATGCATGGATAGAATTTTCCCTCCAGCTTTGCTTACAAGAATCCATCCTTGTTACCCCAAG